CAATAACAAACTTCATACAGTTTAATAATATTTTGCTTTCCTATATGCCCCCCACCAGTGACTTATGACGCTAAAATTCGGGTTTCGCTACCCATAGTGGTCAGAGCACAGATAGTCCATTGTGTAGCTTTGTACTTATCGACAACCAAACCAACCATTTTTTTGTATTGTAGACATTGTAACTATTGGTAAAGCTTCATTTAACGCATTAAAAATTACTCAAAAATGCTAGTTTAAATGAAAACGCTTTTATACAACCATTTTTAGAAATATTAATCAGTATCTAATTATCTTTTTTTGTGGGAAAATAGGAAAGAATTACCATTCTACGAGTCAAGTTGGAAGAGGAGGGCCAACAGCAGTTGAAACTACTTTATAAGATCTGTATAGAACCAATAATCCAAGTTCTGCCTACCTCTATAACTACTTTAATTTTTATTTTTGTGAAAATAGGAAAGGATTACTATTCTACGAAGCCAGTGGGAAAAGGAGGGCCAACAGCAGTTGAAACTGCTTTATAGGATCTGTATAGAACCAATAATCCAAGTTCTGCCTACCTCTCGCGACGGGGTTTCTACACGGTTAATTGTTATTCCACAAGGTAGGAAACTTTTAAGATTGTGTTTCGTAGGTTCTTGAAATAAATGTGTGATGAAAGTGTAAACTCAGTAATATGTTCGTCAGACAGTTCTCAAATTATAGATTATTTCGTGTTTAAATTACGTCAATGAAATGTCACACTTCAATCTATAGACTATTTCGGCATGTATTTCAGTGGCTTTATAAATATGTTACATTTTAGAGTTTATATTGAGAAATACTCTTTGTTGTATTGTCACTAACAGTTACATCATCTAATCGAATCTTACGTGTTTACCTTTATCTCATGCAGTATCATACAACTCCCATATCAATAGCTTTGTTTTAAGTATGAGACAGCGTTAAAATATTTATTTTCTGAATATTAATGTACTGTGCACACTATACTATAAATGTCTACCTCTCTACGGAACGCGTTAGTTGGGAAAACTAATTCAGCCACATTTGACGCACGTGAAAACCGAACTGACTTATCTGTGTATGCATATGAACATTTTGAGTATAAATAACCTAAACTCAAGTATATCTTAAATAGGTAAAGATAAATCACATCTTGGTCAATACAATGAAAGGTGCCTCCAAGTAAGGTAAGAACGATTCAAACAAATACATAAGATCGACTTATAATCTAATCCCAAGAATAAACTGATATAATGTTTGTGTAACTGTTCTCATTAATGATATCAATTCTTGACAAGTTAACCACAAGTCAAAGTAACTCGTTTATGTAAGATTCAAGCTGCCTACGCCTGGCTTGAAATGGATCAAACTTGAGTCTATTCGTCTGACAGACAGGAAGTCCATGTTCAATACTGCTATGTATGTGTTGCAGTGTATAAGTTTTTGTTGTTGTTGGTACAAAGAACGAAATGTTTTATTTGTAAAGGAGATTCACCCAAAATACATATGTACACACACATGCGTGTATGTACATATATGTGTGTGTGTGTATATATATATATACATGTATCTATGCGTGTATGTGTGTGTGTACGTGTGTGTATATATATATAT